ATTATATTATATTATATTATATTATATTATATTATATTATATTATATCATATCATATTATATCATATTATATTATATCATATCATATCATATTTATTATATTATATATTGTATTTTATATATCATATAATATATTATTATTTGTAAATATATGTATTTATATATTATATGTAATATATATAAGCGACCAGCATTGTTGAGGTGAAATCTTCTGGAAAGTGTTTCCTGAGAGCACAGAGAAGATCTGTCCCTGAGGTGAATTCAGGTCAGCAATAGGGACTTATCTTTCCCCAGATGAGTATATTTCATTAAATCTGTGTATTTATATAATTAATTATGTGTGTTAATCATTTTTGGGGGGTAATAGTATTATTTCTTGTCGATTATCCAGTTATTTCTATTGTTATTTTAGCTCCTGTCCTCCTCCTGTATTTACCTGCCTTTCACTTCTCTAACCAGAGGGTTCCCTTACCAGATTACTTGTATTTTATTTCCCTTTACTCTCCTCCCTTCTTCTGTATCTTCCTACCTTACCCTCCATACAGAGGCCCCTTCCAGTTTTTTTTTCTATCATTTCATTGTTGATGAAATGATATTATATGTCATTTCATATAATATCCTTCTCCCTCTTCCTTCATGCTCCTCCTTCCCTCTTCCCACTTACTTCTGTATTTACCTTCCTCCCCTTTCCTAAGGAACCCCCTGTTTTTCCCATTTCTGTGATCAGATTACTTAATACCTTGCTATTCCCCTCTCTATTGCTCCTCAAGCCCCCATCCTAACAATGGCCCCATTTGACTTTCCTGGTTTCTGTAGTTACTACAGGCTATGGGTTCATATTTGAAGATTTGGAGCTAGGAACCTTCAATGAGAGAACATATAGCATTTGTAGGACAATTTTAAACTCACAATTTTAACAGGACCCAATTACAATAGCATAAAACTAATATTTTTGTTGTTGTTGTTCATTGTATAAGAATTCTATTTTAGGACGAAATTACAGTTTTAAATGAGACATTTTAAAACTTTTCAAATGCACAATTGTAGTTTATTGGAAACAGAACACCAATAGCTGACTCCTGTCTTCCACCAAAATGTCCACTCTCAAAGCTGTTACCAATGTTGTACTTGTCAAGCTGTAGCGATTCTTTAATATTAGTTAATAGTTTTCCCCACGATGATACTGTGTGGTTAAGGTTTGTTGTTGTCCTTATCTGTTTGATGATGGAAGGATATTCTCGAACTAGTCCTTAACCTACAGAAAGACTTTGATTTTTGATGACTTCATTTTCTGGTACACAGAAAATCCATACATGTCTTCTTTTTTTAATGTCTCTTTTCTCGGTGCCCCCTCCAGCTCTTCACTATCTTTGGGTCATGAGTGTACTACACTAGACTGGCTGGCTTGTGTGGTTTAACTCTTCTTTAGCACATATGTATGTCTATGGTAGTTTAACTTTTAAATATCCGTCCAGCTTTTAAGCAGAAATATTCTTTGCTCAGTCTCGTTGGTCCTGCTCCTGAAGAGGAACTTCTGGATTTTTACAGCTTGACAGAATGGCGAAATATAAGGTACAATGTCATAGTTTGATTTATATGGACAGGTCTATGTAAGTTCCGGGTACATACATACCATAAACAGTGGTGTGAAGTACAGGTGTCAGACTGGAACTCTTTACTGAGAGTGTTGCAGGGCAAAGGTGCACTTTTTGTATATTGCGTATAGCAGAAGAATCGAACGTAGCATCTCTTTGCACATAGACATTGTCATCTCAATCTGAGGCTCCTTAAGTCCAGTCGGCCACCGTTGCTCCTTGCTGACAATTTTCGAGAAAGCTGATGTGTCTGAAACTTTGAAGGTTCCACTCCACTTGGGTGGCTGGATAGTAACATCGCTGCCAAAGACAGCATCCAATCCAATGAGGCGGATGGGCTGAGGCTTCCTAATCATCACTCTCTTGTCTGCAGATCTGATCCATTGCTCTGGTGGGTGGCTCGGTAACTCTGAGCTCAAGATGCTTTCCACCACTGGGGTGTCGAAGAATACAGAAACTTCTTGAAAGCACTGTTGCACTTCAAAATCAGAAGGGCTCCGTGGGAAGCAAGGAGAGACCCTAAAAGGGTGTATGGATGAGAAGGTAGGTTTTGAGCGCCTCAGCCATCTCAAATTTTCATCCAGGGTGGTCCATGGTGACCAGAGCCTGTAGCTTGCCATTGGCACTGTGACTATGTTCCCCCACATAGCACAGACTACAGAGTAAGCTGAGTGTTTTCTCTACCCGGTGCCTAGCAACCACCTTTGTGACCCAACACTGAAAGAACCTGACCAATAATAGCAGGGCTGGAGTTTAAAGGAGCCCCTCTGCAGCTGAAGCCAGAACATCTGTATTGAGGCTTCCTGGGCAAAAGAGGACAATCTGTGAGCTGGGACAGTTTGGATCCAGGTCACCCGTGACCATCTCTAAAGAATAAGAGTAGAAAATATTCAACACCTCTGCACTTCCCCTTGACCAAGCATAGGCCTCCCTGCTCAGTGACTGAGACAAGTAAAGGCAACAGTGGGTGACTGAGATAGCAGAAGCAGCAGCAATACAGGCTTCCCAGGTTGGCAGCTGTGGCTAGCCCAAGCAGGAGCCTCCATGCTCAGTGACTAAGATGGCAAAGGCTGCTTCTCCAAGCAAGAGCCGCCTTGCAAGTGACTGAGACAGCAAAGACAGCTGCCCCAAGCAGAAGCCTCCAGGCTCTGTAACTGAGACAGCAGAAGAAGTTGGACAGTCTCTCTGTCCTGCAGGCAAACAATGAACACAACAGAGCTGACATATCTCCGACATTCTCTTTAGCCAATGTGGGCCCAAATCTGAGAGTAGAGAACAGAGGGGAATCCCTGTGCTTTCCGATTAGGCCTGAGAGCCAGTTAGAGTGAATTCAAGTGAGTGCTTGCAAAGCCCCAGATCCAGGATCCCCCTACTCTAGCAGCCAGACATCTGATTCCTCCCACCCACAACACCACTGTGGGCAAGATAGGGATCCTTGGAACAGTGTTATCAACAATGAAGCCTCCATTCTGTGGATTTTCCAGTGGAGTTCAGGCAAACAATTCCGGGAGCCTAGACAGATCTGAATACCAGGACAGTACAACAGGCCTGTAGGCCACTGAGGTATTCAGGGCACCTGCAAATGCACATTGCACCTACAAAGAGTACCAGCACCCCCTCCTGCATTTAATCTCTACTCTTCCAGGCATCCATTAAATCACACATCAATTCCAACACCTTAATAGTGGAAGACTTCAGCACTCCATTCTTACCAAGGGACAAATCATCTAGACAGAAGCTCAATAGGGAAATAATGGCATGTACAGAGGTCCTAAATCAAATGGACCTAATGGATTTCACATTTCACCCATCAGAATGGCTAGGATCAACAACTCAAATGATAACACATGCTGGAGAGGATGTGGAGAATGGGGGACCCTCCTCCATTGCTAGTGGAAATGTAAACTTGTACAACCACTTTGAAAAGGAATCTGGTGCTTTCTCAGTAAATTAGGAATAGTGCTACCTCAAGATCCAGCAATACTACTCCCAGGAAAACATACAGAATTTGCACAAGTACACAACCAGGACATTTGCTCAACCATGTTTGCAACAGCTTTATTTGTGATAGCCAGAATCTGGAAACAACCCAGATGTCCCTTAATGGAGGGATGGATACAGAAATTGTGGTACATTTACACAATGGAATACTATTCAGCAATTAAAAACAAGGAAATCATCAAATTTGCAGGCAAATGGTGGGAACTAGAAAAGATCATCATGGGTGAGGTATCCCAGATGCAGAAAAACACACATGGCACATCCTCACTTATGTGAATATTAGACATATAATATAGGATAAACATACTAAAATCTGTACACCTAAAGAGGCTAAGCAAGAAGGAGGACCCTAGGTATGATGCTCAATCTTCATTCAGAAAGGCAAACAGGATAGACATCAGAAGAGGGAGAAAACACAGAACAGAAACCTACCACAGAGGGCCTCTGAAAGACTCTACCCAGCAGAGATATCAAAGCAGATGCTGGGCAGATTGAAGGCAATCTTATGAAAGAAGGGAGAGATATAAGATGAGGAAGGGATAGGTGCTCCACAAGGAGAGCAACAGAACCAAAGATCTTGGCACAGGGTTCATTTATGAAACTGATACTCCAACCAAGGAACATGCATGGAGATTACCTAGAACCCCTGCACTTGATGTAGCTCACGGCATCTCAGTCTCCAAGTGGGCTCCCTAGTAGTAGGAACAAAGACTGTCAGTGACATGAACTCAATGGCTGACTCTTTGATCACCTCCCTCTAAGCATGGAGCAACCTTATCAAGCCACAGAGAAAGACAATGCAGCCAGTCTTGATGAAACCTGATAGACTAGGATCAGATGGAAAGGGAGAAGGACCTCTCCTACCAATTGACTGGGGGAGAGTATAGGAGGAGTAGAAGGATGGAAGGTAGAGGAGGGAGAGAATACAGAGGGAATACAAAATGAATAAAGTGTAATTAATAAATAATTTTAAAAAAGAAAAAAAAAGAAACCCAGAATCTCTAAAACAATAGTCTACTATTAAAGATCTTCAGGAAGTATCTTCATTTCTGAATGGTCCTTGGTTGAAGTATCAGTCTCAGAAATAACCCCAGTGCCCAGACATTTGGTTCTATTGCTCTCCCTGTGAAGCTCCTGTCCCTTCCAGGTCTTTCTTTCTCCATCTCTTTCATAAGATTTCCTGCACTCAGCCCAAAGTTTTGCCATGAGTCTCAGCCTCTACTTTGATAACCTGCAGGGTAGAGTCTTTAAGAGACCCTTTGTGGTAGGTTCCTGTCCTGTTCCCTGTTTCTCCCTCTTCCGATGTCCATTCCCTTTGCCTTTCTGAATATGGGTTGAGCATAATACCCAGTGTTCTCCAATCAAATGGAACTAAGAGACATCTACAGAACCTTTCACCCGAACATAAAACAATTTACCTTCTTCTCAGCACCCCATGGAACCTTCCCTAAAATAGACCATGTAATTGGTCACAAAGAAAGCCTCAGCAGGACAAGAAGATTGACATAATTTCTTGTATCCTGTCTGACCAGCATGGACTTAAGCTGGAACTCAAAAACAACAGAAATAGGAAAAAGCCTAGACACACATGGAAACTGAAAAACTTGCTACTCAATGACAGCTGGGTCAGGGAAGAAATGAAGGAATTAAAGTCTTCCTAGAATTCAATGATAATGAAAGCACAATATATCCAGACTTCTGGGAGCACAATGAAAGTAGTGTTAAAAGGAAAGTTCATAGCACTAAGTGCCTTCAAGAAGAAATTCAAAACATCTCATTCAAGCAACTTAATGGTCATCTGAAAGCCTAGGGATATAAAAAAGAAGCAGACATACCCACCAGGAGTAAACAGCTGGAAATAATAAAACTCAAGGCTGAAATTAATAAATAAAAATAAACTGGAAGTTTTATTTTTTTCTACAAATAAAACCATTCAAAGAATCAATGAAACCAAGAGCTAGTTCTTTTATAAAATCAACAAGGCAGACAAACCCTTAGGTAAACTAACTGAAAGTTTGAAAAACACTATCCAAATCAACAAAATTAGAAATGAAAAAGGGGACATAACAACAGACATTGAGGAAATTCAGATAATCATTAGTCATATTTAAAAAGCCTATACACCACAAAATTTGAAAATCTAAATGAAATAGACAAGTTTCTTGATAGATTCCACTTACCAAAGCTGAATCAAGACCAGATAAATAAATTAAATAGCATTATATCTTCTAAGAAAATAGAAGCTGTGATCAAAAGTCTCCCACCCAAAAAAAGAAAAAGCCCAGGGCCAGAGGGTTTCAGGGAAGAATTCTACTATAACTTCAAAGAAGAGCTAACACCAATACTCTTCAAACTCTTCCACAAAACAGAAACAGAAGGAACATTACCAAACTCATTCTATGAGACCACAGTCATTGTGGTACATAAACCTCATAAAGACCAACAAAGAAAGAGAATTTCAGGCCAATCTCCCTTATTAATATTGATGTAAAAATACTCATCAAAATACTTGCAAACCGAATCCAAGAACACATCAAAGATATCATCCACTATAACCAAGTAGGCTTCATCCCAGGTATGTAGGGGTGGATCAATATTCCGAAATCCATCAATGTGATCCACCGTATAAACAAACTGAAAGCAAAAAATAACACATGATAATCTACTTAGATGCCAAAAAAGCATTTGATAAAATCCAACATTCGTTTATGTTTAAAGTCTTGGAGAGAACAGGGATACAAGGCACTTACATACATATAGTAAAAGCAATATACAGCAAGCCTATAGCCAACATCAAACTAAATGGAGAGTAACATAAAACAATTCTACTGAAACATGGGATTCTGGATTTCTTGTTATTCCATATGAAGTTGAGATTTTTTTTTTCTTTCACGTTCTGTAAAGGATTGTGTTGGTAATCTGATGGAAATTGCCTTGAATCTGTAGATTGCTTTTGGTAAGATGGCCATTTATACTATGTTAATCCTACCAAGTCATGAGCATGGGAAATCTTTCGATCTTCTGATATCTTCTATTTCTTTCTTCAGAGTCTGGAAGATTTTTTGTTTTTTTTTTCATACATGTCTTTGACCTGTTTGGTATTCACTTTGCATCCCAGCTGTAGCCACCACTGTCATTCCTTTCCAGTCCTACCTTCCCTCCTTCATCTCCGCCAATGCCCCTCTTTAACTCTACTAATAGTGGAGGTCCTCCTCCCTTTCCATCTGACCCTAGCTTTTCAGATCTAATCAGGACTGGATGCATTGTCTTCCTCTATGGCCTGGTAAGGCTGCTCCCTCTTCAGAGGAAGGTGATAAAAGAGCCAGATGCTGAATTCAGTTCAGAGAAAGTCAATGCTCCCCTTAATAAGGAACCCACTTATACACTGAGCTGCCATGGGAAACATCTGTGCATGGGTTCTAGGTTATCTCCATGCATGGTCCTTGTTCTCAGAAAGACCCCTGGGGCCAGATTTCTTGGTTCTGTTGCTCTCCTTGTGGAGCTTCTGTACCCTCCAGGTCTTTCTATCCCCCCCCTCCTTTCAGAAGATTCCCTGCACTCTTATTACTATTGCTCTATAGTACATCTTGAGATTACGGATGGAGATACCTCCAGATGA